GAGATATTTCAGAAAACCTCGCCTCATAATCAGTCACTAACATCTGACCTTGCTGAAGCTGCTCAAACTGAAACTGCAACTCTTCCCTTTGGGAGGGTGGAATATATATGTCCAGGAAGATACGGGTGAACCTGTCCCAAGTCATGGGAGGAGAATCTGTTGGTCTGCCAAGAACATAAGACTGCCACCATCTACAGGCTCTGCCCTCTAGTTGAAAAGTAGCGAAGTCAATCCCATGAGATTCCAATATCCTCATGTTATGTAGTCTGTCCCTGCAACGATCAATGAAGTCATGTGGATCCTCATGTCGCTCACCCCCAAAAACAAGAGGATGTAGTCTAGTCCATCGGTCCAATAATTTTTGAGGATCGGCGGCTACAGCTGGCCTGGGCTCCACCCACGGGTAGTGCACCTTGGGTCTGATATACAACAGTTGTCTGTCCATGAGCCTATGTGGTAGGGGTATGTCCTCCCCCGCCCGCCTGAGATGTGGCTGGGTCTGCCAGAAATAAACCGGCATGAGTCATATTGTCCATGAACCACATCATACGACCCATGACATCCTGAAATCTCGGTGCAGATATGAAATCCACCGGAGCTGGCTCTGCCACAGGCACCTCATCCTGTTCCTCAACAATAGGGTTCTATGCTGAACCCATTGGCGGCATTACTGGAACAGTCCTGGGACGTCCTCGCCCTCTACCATGGGCTGGAGCCCTCCCTCGGCCTCTAGCAACTAGGGGAGTAGCTCTTCCCTGGCCTGGAACCTCATTCGAGCGCGTTCTCACCATCTGAGAGAGAATAAGAGAAGGATATTTAGAACTACATCAATTTCACGATGGAATATGAAGAAAGGTAATTTCCTAACACCCTATAGCCTCTCGAAGATAAGTACAGACGTCTCTGTACCGATCCGCAAGACTCTATTAAGTCTGCTCATAACTTGTGAGACCTACGTGAACCTAGTGCTTTCATACCATGTTGTCACGATCCAATTTTCCCTATATGTCATGATGGCACCCAACGCTACAGCTAGGCAAGCCAACTAGTAAATTAAGTATATATTGTTAAATAATTTAAACCAGGAAAATATAATAAAACCTAAACCAACTAGTGTGTGTACCAAGACCTGGTGTCATAAGTGTATGAGCATCTAGTAGATTATACAAAACTCCAAATACTGTCTGAAATGAAATAGACAGAATATAAATATAAGAAGAGACATTGGTAGCTGCAGAACGGCTCAGAAAGGCAGCTCACTACTATGCCTCGGGATGACGTGGNCACTGGTACTTGTCTCAAGTCCTGCAAGTGTAGTATGAGTACGTAAACAACGTGTACCCAGTAAGTATCAAGCCTAATCTCGAAGTGGTAGAGATGAGATGGCCGCCTTTGACACTCACCATGGGTTAATAATAATAATAATTGAATACAACTAGGATATTTAAATCAGCATGGTTTACAGAATTTAAAATAATTTACTTAATCAGCGAAAATAATCAAATTCCTTCAAATGCAATAATTCTCAATATATTAATTAAATTCTTTTAATTCAAAGTGGGTTGCTCTGATGGTAAGCACCCTCCACTTCTAACCAAGAGGTTGTGAGTCCGAGTCACCCCAAGAGCAAGGTGGGGAGTTGTTGGAGGGAAGGATGCCGAGGGTCATTTGGAAACAACCTCTCTACCCCAGGGTAGGGGTAAGGTCTGCGTACACACTACCCTCCCCAGACCCCACTAGTGGGATTATACTGGGTTGTTGTTGTTGTTGTTGTTGTAATTCAAATAACTTCTAATCTATCAATTAAATATCATTTACATGAATAACAATTAATTCTTTAACAAGCAAGATTAATAATTCATTAAATTTTAAGGATTTTTCAATTTATCAATTAGCTTCGCAAGCTGAAATAAACTATTAAAGTATCGTATAATTATTATTATTATTAAGCACGATTTCTGACGAAGACGTACGGCCTGATCCAGAGTGTCGTGTTCACTGCCGAGGGATGTGCGACACGATCCATAGATGCATCTATCCTGCCGAGGCATTCGGCCCGCTCCACAAGAAAGGGGGACATTTTCTTATGTACCTCCGAAGGGAGAGTATATTTATTATAAGATAAATTCGTGAGAAAAAATAATTTCTTTTAACAATTAATTAATTTAAACAGAAAATCAAGCATATGAGATTTCCATCCTTTAATATATTTATCTAACAATTCACAATATATTCATATATATCAATTAATATTAATTAAACAAATAATATAATTTACACAAGTAATTCATGCTTTGAATCCTAAACTACCTAGACTTTAGCATTAATAGTAGCTACGCACGGACTCTCGTCACCTCGTGCGTACATAGTCCCCGCAATTAGCAACAATTATTCAATTTAATCCCTATGGGGTAATTTCTCCCTCACAAGATTAGACAAGAGACTTACCTCGTCTCAAAATTCACTTTCCGATTATCGCGTCGCGTAAAATTCTTGATTCAATGCCGAAAAATCCGAAACTATCCAAAAGTTATATAAAATAATTAATATATGTTCAAAAATTCGAAATTCATCTATTAAATAAATTACCCTATCCAAAATGGTAAAATTCCTAAATTTCACCCCGGGCCCACGTGCTCGGATTCTGGAAATTTTTAGATGAAAACGTTATCCAAAATCTCAAGAACTTGAATATATAATTTCTACCCAATTCCATAACTATTTTCGTGGTTAAAATCTCACTTTTATAAGAATCTAGGTTTTTCATCTAAATCTTTGATTTTTAAGATTTACTAATTATAATCTACTTATAATCTATGTATTTAACTCAAGGAGGTGTAGAATTAACTTACCTCCAAGTTGTTAGTTGAAATCTCCTCTCAAAAATCTCCAAAATCGCCCAAGAATAGAAGAAAATGGGCAAAAATGGTGAATTCCCGTTCTTTTAAGCTTTCTTCCAAACAAGTCTTTCGCACCTGCGGACAGTGTACCTACCTGCGGCTTCCGCACCTGCGGAAAATCCTCGCAGGTGCGAGTCTCACTAGCCTTGGCCAAACCCGCATCTGCGCACACTGCTTCGCACATGCGCGATCGTAGGTGCGCCAAAATTCCGCATCTGCGGCGATGGCCTCCCCTTCCCTTTTCCGCTTCTGCGAAAAAATCTCCCATCTGCGAGTTCCGCGCTTGAGAGCTTCTGTCGCATCTGCGAATGTCGCACCTGCGACTGGCCAAGCGCAGGTGCAATTCTGACAGTAACTGGGAGCTTCAGTTTTGGCTCCCAACTTCCAACTTGGTCCAAGCCTCGTCCGATTGACACTCGGGGCCTCTAGGACCCCGCCCGAACATACCAACAGGTTTGAAATCATAAAACGGACTTGCTCGAACTCTCGGAACGTGTAAAACAACATCAAATCTAAGAATCATACCCTAAACCAAATTGATTCAAACATATGAATTTCAAGTTCTTCAATTTACTCCCAATGCGCCGAAATATACTTAAACTACTCGGAATGATACGAAAATTTGCGTGCAAGTCTTAAATCACTATACGGAACTATTCTCAAACTCGGAATTCCAAACTGACTTTAATTACTCAAAATCCTACTCCAAACCAAATTTAAAGAATTTTAAACCTTCAAATAGTTGATTATTACTATTAAGCGTCAAACGCTCCCGGGTTATCCAAAACCCGTTTCGGACATACGCCCAAGTCCAAAATCATCATACGAACCTAATGGAACCGTCAAATCCCGATTCCGGGGTCGTTTTCTCAAAATGTTGACCGAAGTCAAACTTCGCCTTTTTAAGGCTAACTTAAGGAACCAAGTGTTCCGATTTCAACCCAAACGCTTCCAAATTCCGAACGAACCATCCCCGCAAGTCATAAATTAATAAAAGCATGTTCGGGGAGTTTTATTTTAGGGAACGGGTTTCTAAAAGTTAAAATGACTGATTGGGTCATTACATTCTCCACCTCTTAAACAAACGTTCGTCCTCGAACGGGTTTAGAATAATACTTAGAGTGCTAAATAAGTGTGGATATTTGCTCCGCATGTGGATAATACTTTATAATTTTATCGTACCTTTCTAAGCTATGATTTAATCCATATTAATTCTGATGCAAAGAAAAAATAATACTACTTGTTGTACGCATAAGCCAATAGTATGCCATGTTCGGTTTATCTTCAGGAATAACTATTTTTCTCTAAGTCTTCAATATAAATCTAAGTCTAATAGCCTATTTGGCCACACTTCTTTTAAGGCAAAAAATATTTTTTTTGGTCAAAAATACTTTTCTTTTCTTCTAAAATTAAGGTGTTTGGCCAAGTTTTTAAAAGGAAAAAAAAGTGCTTTTGAGGAGAAGCAGAAGTTGTTTTGGAGAAGCGAAAAAAAAAAATAGTTTCTCTCTAAAAACACTCATTTGAAAATTACTTTTGAGAAAAATACACTTAGAAGTAGTTTTTTAAAACTTGGCCAAACATTAATTGATGTTCAGAAGTGTTTTTCAAATTAATTAGTTAAATACAAACTGTTTCTCACCAAAAGTTCTCAAAAACACTTTTGGCTTCTCAAAATAAGCGGATTTTTGCAGTTTAGCCAAACGGGCTATATAAGTGTAAGTGTGAGATATTTTACTAGTATCAATGCTTGAACTAATACTTTATTTTCAATATATTAGAAGTATTCTTTCAACATATTGTTTAAGTTTTTTTTATTTTTATTTTTATCTAGTGAACTTTTTATCTGAATCAACAACATTAATGATATCTTTTAGACACTAGATTGTATTAGTAAGATTTTCAATTATGGGGATTTTTTTGCTATATTTACAAGTTAAATATCAGTTTTTTATTGTTCCGTTTTTCTACATTAGAGTCACATAGAAAGTTGAGCTCGGGTCACTCTAAGATAGCAATTATGATAATATTCTTTCTGTCCATTCTTATGTATAAGAAAGAATCTAGACTAATTTTAGATTTATGATATTTAATCTTATTTTGATTTTATTAGTTTTATTTACGAGTAACTTATTTTTGGGGACAATAGAGGGGCAAATATGACCTGTAGTAGCATCGTGTCGTTTGCCTTTCTGAAAGGCTATACTTTTCGCTCCAAAAAGTTTGAAATGAAGTTCAAAAAATGAACAGTGCAGCAGAAAATCTCTGCCTTTCTCTATTAAGCAACTGCAGAACTCTCCGAAACCTCAAGCAAATCCACGCCTTCGTTTACAAATCCGGCCTCGAAACCGACCCATTAATCTCCGCAAAAATCCTACTTATTTCCGCCGTTCAAATCTCCGACGCTATTGATTACGCTCGCCGTCTCTTCATCCACAACCCAAACCCAGATGTGTTCATGTACAACACCCTCATCCGAGGTGAATCCGAGTCAGACTCACCCAATAACTCCGTCAGCTCGTTCGCTCGCATGCTACGAGAATCATATTCCCCTCCGGATAGTTTCTCTTTCGCTTTTGCACTCAAAGCAGCGGCGAATTTGCGGTGTTTGAAAACTGGGTTTCAGCTGCATTGTCAAGCTATGGTTCGTGGACTCGATACCCATCTCTTCGTTGGGACTACATTGGTTAGTATGTATGGGGAATGTGGATTTGTTGTGTTTGCTCGGAAGGTGTTTGATGAAATGAATGAACCAAATGTCGTGGCGTGGAATGCGATAATTACAGCATATTTTCGTGGGAATGATTTGAGTGGTGCAGATAGACTGTTTGGTTTAATTCCGTGCAGGGACTTGACTACTTGGAATGTGATGCTAGCGGGGCATACTAAAGCAGGGGATCTTGAGCGTGCGAAGGGGTTGTTCTTGCGGATGCCGAGTAGAGATGATGTTTCTTGGAGTACTATGATTGTTGGATTTGCTCGTAATGGATACTTTGATGAGGCGCTTCGGGTTTTCAGGGAGTTGGTTGGGAGTGGAAATAGGTCGAATGAAGTGAGCTTGACGGGTGTTTTATCTGCGTGTGCTCAAGCTGGGGCATTTGAGTTTGGGAAAATTTTGCATGCATTTATAGAGAAAATGGGGTTTGCTTGGATTAGTTCTGTGAACAATGCACTTTTGGATACTTATTCCAAGTGTGGAAATGTGTTGATGGCTCGTCTTGTCTTTGAGAGAATGCCTGGGAAGAAAAGCATTGTTTCCTGGACTTCTATGATTGCAGGGCTTGCAATGCAAGGATATGGTGAAGAGGCGATAAAACTTTTTCACAAGATGGAAGAATCTGGGACCAGACCTGACGAGATCACTTTTATTTCGATCCTTTATGCATGTAGTCATGCTGGTTTACTTGAAAGAGGTCATGAGATTTTTAGTAAAATGACAGGAATTTATAACATTGAACCAACGATTGAGCATTATGGTTGTATGGTTGATTTGTATGGCAGGGCTGGTCAGCTTCAT